CTTGCCCGCCCGCTCAGAGATGTGTATAAGAGACAGTATATATATATATATATATATAACATAGATTGTATGTTATCTGTACACGTGAAAGAATTTAAGCTATATATGACCGTCGTCACTTCAAACGTCAATAAAAAAATAATAATAACGGACACGTACGTGTCGATACCCGGCCTCAATGTGGTTTTAAAAACTCCCCAGACCGGCTTGTGATCCGAGGTGCAAATACTTGGGACAGAATCGTACACCAAGCACTCTATAACCCCGTCCTTGGAACTGGAACTCTCGTGGCTGACGCGTCTGATGTATCCTCTGGTGTGGCCCTTCCCCCTGAAGAGAATCCTGTCGGTGTACGCGGGGGTGCGTTGCTTGCTGCTGGAGTCAAAGTTCTGCGTTCCCGGGTCGTATTTGTAGGTAGGGGGAAACATGATCGGGGCCTCCTCGAAGCCGCGCAACACCGCGCCCTCGTTCAGGGTGTTCTTTAGCTGATCCTTGCGCATGTTTATCGGCGACTCTTGCGGAAAGCACGTATTCGTGATCCATTGAATCACTTCCTCCCTCGGCTGAGCCAGACGGAAGTTCAAATCACCGCACCAGAACACGCAATCGAAGTTTTGCGTCACGTCTGTGAAAAATGCAATATATGTATCCATTTATTACGCGCTACGTACGAAATGCGAGACTATCGAGTATCGAAGGTCTAAAGATACTTTTTCATGCTGACGCTCGACGCTGGATTTTTAGCGTCAAAACAAATCAAAATTGATAAATACTAAGCGTCCAAATATGTAACCGAGGATCGGGATCGAATCCAGGATCTATCGATCTTGAATTACGAATCGAATTCATGTTTTATTTGTTACTTTAGATTTCTTCATTCTTTTGTAAGACAAAAAATTTGTCAGGTTTGACCGCCGCATCTTATAACTGTACCGTACACGAAAAGAACGATTTTGCTAAAGTATCTAAAAATTTAGCTTTTTACTTCTGGTGAAAAAAATTCTCATACTTCATAATATTTTTTAGAATTTGTAGTTTGCATATTTTAAGAAGTTCTTACAATCTTAAATTTCTTCACCCATTGTATGAAATATGTAAATTTTTTGAGATGCTTTAATTAAATATGTTAGAAATATTTCGTAAACATTTGTAAAACATTTTAAAATATTACATTAAAATATTTCACAAAAATATTCTCGAAATATTGTAAAAATATTGCAAAAAATATTTTTATTGAAACATTTCAAGAAATATTTCAAAAACTCTCTTGAACATATTATTTCAGAAAAATTTCGTGCTATATGGACAGATTTATGGATAAGTTTTCTTCAGAAATTGTAAAATGAGTATTCTTACAATTTTTCAGAATTTACATAGGTAAAGAATTCTAGAAGAAATGTAGACTTCCTCAGCTTTTCTGAAAAATTTCAATTTGCATAAACGATCTGAGAAATTTTCTAAAACTATAAAATTTATATTAAAATTCAAAATTCTCAAAAATTATGTGAAGAATATAAGAGAATTTTTCATCAGAGGGTCGGGCATCAGCATGAAATCGTACTTTAATGCTTGACTAACACCTAATACCTTTACTCTTGTGTCTGATAGGCAGCTCTTTGGGTAGGTCAAGATTTCGAACGATTCTCTTGATATCGTTGACCCGTTCTTTCACCTTGTCCTGATGCGCGGTCAAGTGAGCGGTGACAAAGAGGAAGCTGGTGCCGAATATCATGAGCGCTATCGCCACCGCGCCCTTCGTCCTGAACGCCGTCCCGGTTCTCGTCGAGAAGCTGTCCTCCTCCGGAATGGAGCAGAACCAAATCAAGTCCCGTCTCACGAATATTGCGAGGTGAAGCGTGCCGAGGTTACCGCTGGTCAACAGCACGTGCGAGGGTCCGAGGGTCTCCTGCAGGGCTGCTTCCCACTCGTGTCGCTCGGAACACGACTCTTGAGTGCCTATGGCTAACAAATCGGGTACGGTCTCGATGTGGCATGGCAACATAAAGTCGTTCAATTCCTTCGGCGGAGTCTGGCCGTTCATGTTCCACGTGCCGATAAAGATTTTCAATTCTCGATTAGGCAATACTTTCTCAAGCTCCACTGGCCCGAGTAAGGAGTTGGCGGCGATTCTTCCGTGAAGAAAATTCCTATAAAATTCAGGTTGTTAGTCATCGGATAAACATATACAACTCAGTAAACGGGAAAGGATTTAAATGGATTACAATTTTTTAATTCAAGAATTTAAATGGATTGACCTCTGTGGAAATCAATGCATTTCTATTTCATAATACGAATATAATATAATATTTTTAATGTAACACTAATATAATATTGTATTTTTTGGGTAAGGTGGATTGAAACAATGCATTTCCTAGTCACAATTTTTAATTGAACAACGTTCATAATTCATTTTCAC